TCCACCGTGCTGACCACCCAGGTGCATTTCATCAGTGGACAACTTTCCAGTTTATGCGTTCAGATCCCCCATCAGCACATCAGTGTCCGTGCTCCTTCTGTTGGCTGTAGAAGTCGTTTTTTACCGTATCACCGCTACAGTTTGTGGGCGCGTAGGCAGTGATGGTGAATAGACACCTATCAGTCCCGCGCAATTTCGAGGCTTTGAACGAGCCAGCCAATTGGACCGCACACATACGGCTACTGATTAGAATCCAATCAACCAGAGCAGCTTCAGCTCGGGGACTCAGGGCAATGCCAACACCAGCTTGGCCGGTACTCGAATTTGCATCGTCACCGGATAGGCGCAATGAGAAAATACTGCTGATTTCACCTGAAGAGGATCGCAGAGTGAGCACAGAGTTCGAGTCTTACAGTCGGGTTTCCGATAAGCAGCAGATATCGGTCGAGACGGTCTCTAATGTTCGGGCAAGTGCTGCCTGTTGACCGATCTTTAGCAAGGTGCCACATTGAGGCATGCCAATCTGAAGGAAGTTCGAGGGCTCCAAATGGAAGCCGATGAACTGGAATGGACTGGTTGGTTGGACATGGGCTTGTCGACATGAGAGGAGTGACGCTCCGCGTTAGCATGTGAGTTGAAATTAGAAGATAAATGCCTATCAAATCATGTTGGAGGAGGGCCAAGAATCGGGGCTTGAAAACTAGCGGATAAAATTGAAGTTGGAACGGGACGGTAGGACTGATAAATCGTAAGATGGGGAATAAGAAGACGGGAAGGCTTGAGCAGTAGCATCCAAACCCTTATCCACCCTGCTCGATGCAGCAGATAGGGCACAGTTGATTATCCTCTGCGGTGGCCAGAGCATCAGAAATTTGTTTGAAGAGAGATTCATTATATTGCGTGGGCAGGATATTGTCAGGTTGCCCATGTCTGGACAGGAGAACGATTAGGGTTCTCAACCAAAGCCTTTGGTTCAAAAACCTGACTGCAAGGCAGTGGGTTTGGCGTTGGACTACAAGGATTCCGGTTTAAGGAATAAGGTGCCACCCTCATTCCACCCCCCAATCTGGAGGACCAGGAGGCTGAGTTTGTCTAGTCTCTAACCATTGACCAATCTGTTGTGATTGACTCTGAAGGTGCGAAAGCACCACCCAGCATAGCTCAATGGATCGCTGAGGCACACAAACCATCGCACTTTACCTGAGATATTACAATATTTTGCTCGAAGGTTGGCGATATACTTTTCGGGTACTGCATTCCTTAAACGCAACACCATAAAGCTGGCTGATCGACGGAGTCGGAAGCTGCTCGGATATCCAGAAAAATACAATCCTAGTATGCTGGCGGTATAGATAACGCCTTTTAAGGATTTGGCGGGTCGTAAACAAGTGGTCTATACGCCCTCGACGGTGGCGGAACCCAGCCTGTTCTTCACGGAAGCGCAATTCTCGAATCGGGGTTAGTCTGTAGAGTAGAATGGATGCTAACAGTTTGAAGGCAACGGATAGTAGACTGATTCCTCGTTGGTTAGCGCATAGGGTACGGACACGTTTCTTGAAGATCGGGACGATAATTAAGGACTTGAGCGGATGGAACTGTTTCTTCACACCAGATCTTAGAGAACAGAGCTGTTAGGTGGTTGACAATTGCTTCGCCACTGAACTTGAACAGCTCCGGTGGAAGTCCGTCTGGGCCAGCAGACTTGAATCGCTTCAAGTGTCGGAGCTCAAGGCGGACCTCAGCTTCAGTGGATGGTCCCAATGAGACGTTCCAAGGCGCGCAATGAGGTATACTCATTAGGCTCACCGGCAGAGGCCAGCTGAACTGAGTGCGGAAGTGTTCAGCCCAGCGGTCCATGCGCCTGCGTAATTTGGTGATCGGCGTTCCGTCAATCTCGCAAATGACCTCACTGACACCAGATCTTTTGTGACCAGTGGCTCGAATGACCTGGAAGAGCTTGCGGAAGTTTCCAGAGAGGGGTGTCGTTTCCATCTCTGAGGCGCACTGGGGCCAGCAAGTTTCGCGGTCCGCACGCTGGCTTTGCTTAAGTTGTTGGCTGAGAATGCGACGCAATGCACTGCTATTTGAATCGGCCGGGATAACTCTACGACGATCAAATAATTCCAGTTAGTGTTGCAGAAACCCAACTCCTCAGAGGGCGCCTTGTAATTCCGCAGTTTGAATGACTAGAAGATGGCTTCGCTTTACGCAGGAAACTCCAATGATTTTCGATGGCCTTATGTGGTACTAATGAATATATGCGACAAATAAGCTTGATAAGCTGATGGAATAGAGAAGTCCGCTAACTTGTTGGTGTCGAGCGTATGGTGCCTCCGTTTTGAGGAACCGCCGAAGCGCATGCAGATGTTGCGCAGACCAAAGCATGGCTGTAATCGAGGAACAATCCCGGAGGCTTCCTCGCGGCCTAAAGCTGATTGCAGTATGATATATTTGTGACTACGCTTACGTTGGTGTAGTAAGACGCCAGGTGGCTACACCTCTTTGATATGCCTAAAGTTCGTACTTGCGAGAAAGAGACGGTGGTCTTCGCATGACGTAAGAAGTGTATCACTGTTGTCAAAACGACTCTCATCGAGATGACGTTCACACGGAAGCAGGAGACTTACTCGTGCGTTGGGATCTCCGGCAAGCACGATGATATCTGACATTTCGGCCTTGTTCAAAAGGTTGCGGAGTACAGGATAAAAGTCATCGTTAACCGATGCACAGCTGCAGTCGGTTGGAGGGTAGGCAGAAACGACAAACGAATTGCTCCTCTCTTCACGATGTCTGTTGATGCTACATGAGTCTTGAAGCGGAACCGCACACAGCCGGCTGTCGATTGAAAACCAGTCGAGTAATGCTGCCTCCGTGTCACCAGGCGGACGTAGGTAATATGTGGTTTCAAGAGCAGTTGGGGATGGCAACTTAACCACGATGCTTGGATCCTGCAATGGAGTCCCTGAAAGGTAACAAACATCGATGGGGAAGGAATCTATAGTGCGCGCCAGGCCAGCCTGTTGTCCAATCTGTAAGAGGATCCAAACCTTGAACGTTGCCAAGCGGAAGGAAGAACGGGGTCATAGGATAGATGATGACTGGACGATTTGGATATCAGTGAGACGGGCATTAGTAGTAGATTCAACAGATTGTGGATTATCAACAAGAGAAAGTTGACGCGTGATGGAGAAGCATGAGTAACAGGGAACGTAGCAGCAGAATAGAGCGACGTAGTAATAATTGCGCCATCCATGGTTTTCACAGAGGGCACGATACTACCCGGTTGCCCAAGCCGACGGAGGGAGTTGTCTTAGGGGACTCCGCCCCGAGTCTTCAGCTCAATAGTATACCCGCAAGGCAGCGGAGCGAAGTCAGTGATTCGCACCCATTGGGAACCGATGACTGATTGATCAGTTCATGCGCTTTTCGTTTGGTAAGTAGCCAAACAGGAGCCGAATCCTCCCCAGGATTTCAGCAGCAAGGTGCTGGGATACATTGCTTCACCAAGGCGAAACAAGGGGCAGTGATTTAGGTAGTGGCGAGTCACGTCCGCCACGTTGCAATGTTGTTAAACGGACACGTGGCTTTTTATAGGAAAAACCCACCACGTCCTGGAACAGTGCCGTAAGACCATTCGCTGGACTGAGATAATCCCGGACCACCCAGCTGGCACGACGAGGAGGTTGTTCGGCAAGCCAACCCTCCTGACCGCGCTGGGCTCAAAGTGGTTCCATCTTATGTGGAGCAGACTACGAGCGAGTCGCCGCCTTCTGTACGTCTGGTACTCACGATTCCCAAATTGGATAGACATGAATGATATTACTACATGTTGAAGGACTTTGGCCTAGCTCCCCTGATGAAACGTGGCTCCCTTCCACATTCCTCCTCATCTTATTCCTTCGAGTTTACACTGGATATAGGGTGTGTGGATGGTGCGATGCAAGCCACCCATGGTTTCTCTGTAGGCGCAAGTATCCTGTGGCTGTCCTTTGAACGCTGCAGTGGCAAGCGAATCCAGGACCTCATACTACTAGTCACATATAAGCTATTGACCAAGAGTACTTCAATTGGCAGTGTCACGACGTATGGATAAACCAATGAGATGAGAGAGAAGAAGCAAGTCCCTCATAATCGTCATCGCGAAGCAGAGCCATGCCGTGAATCCCCACGATCTGGTCGGTGTTTTATCTGTACCAACAAGTATTAGAATTCCGTTGTCTTAGACACACTCATCGCGGGCTCACATTCTACTCCACGTGCTTACCCACACTCCCTCGGTGAACCGATGTGGTTGCTGGATGCACTCTCCGAGCAAGGAATCCGGACGTGCGTTTCGGCTCGGAGACGAGCACATGTTTGTTATGATGACTGGAAGGTAGTGCTTCAATGGAACTCAGTACATCACCCATTAGCCTAGTTTTACTCGAACGGTATTCAGCCTTTCATAATCCACAGAAGTCAGCTATTTGTGCGCATTGTAGATTTCTCCGTTATTTCATCAAACAAGCCACCTTTTTCATGTGTGCGTATGTATCTTGTCTGGTAGTTCACTTTACTAGATTCTAACACCTGTTGGTTGCAACTTTTCATTTTCTCCCAAACGGATCTAACTCTCCTTCAGGGCGGCCGGTAGTCTAAAAGTAACGAGCTTGCCTCGTAATCTTGCGGTGCGGGTTCGAAACTGCGTAGGAGCATGGCGTATCTCGCAGTATCCTTAGCCCACGTGCCACCGGTAGTGCTTGCGCGGCAGCGAAGCCTCGGTACTACGTTCCGACGTACTTTCGATGATTCTCCTTCAGGGAGATTAAGCAGAAGCTGTCGCTTGTCTGCCTTTGCTACGGCTTTTATTAGGTTCTTTTGGGACTTGTACAGCTGATGAACCTAAAAATGCAAACGCAACGTAGCTTTTTTTGTTGATCTGTGCCATGTGCTAAACGTCTCAATCTCTTCCTACTTACGAAACCACCATTCACTGAGATGCTTTGGTATCTTTTGTCTAGCCAATTGTCCCTTTGAACCACGTTCATCAACCCATGACGCAGATGATCTTGTTCGTCCAGCCGTAGAGCGGACGCCCACGGAAGTCTCGATTTCTTCAAGTGGTGAGAGTTCGTTGAACCCCGCAGATCCGGGAGCGGAGTCCCCAAATGATGTATCGATGGAGCGACGTTTTCCCCCTAACGGCCATCAGCTGGTCCCTCGGGCACCGGGAAGCGTCATTCCACGGAATACACTGTCTGTTCGCGAGAATGTTCGTAAGTGGAGCATTTCATTTTCGCCACTTGCCACCTATCATCTCCATTGTTCCTTTACTATCTCATACCTTATGGTTAACTGAGTCTACCTACCTGGGTTTATTTCCCTTTCACCAGTGAGGTTTGCTGCATCAATGCGAAACGTATGCTTTGGTACACGATTTGGCCTGAAAACCACACTGATGACGTTCCCTAGTTTGGCAACGGAACATCTGAAGTTATAACAATCACCCCTATATGAGCAATATCACATATTCAGAACTGCTTCGTGTTAATCACACTGCATGGGCCCCAACCGCATTTCACAGTCTCGTTGTTAACTTCACATCGCTACTTTCATGCGATACAAAGACGGTCTAACACATATTAATTCTTCCACGGCACCTATTTTTTCTTGACAACTTTGCATTCTCGTTCGTTGGTTTTTTTAAGAGCGACGGCTTGAGAGCGCGTCCAACCGGTAATCCGATTGTACCGATCCTGCACATAGTCCCAGATCGGCAGCTGCAGACTGTGCTCAGGTCCTGGTCCGCGTGACTTGCGCCGTCGGACCGGTTACTCAAGACGAATGAGTGACCAGTTTTGCTTCTCCTAACTGTGCTTATGGTATTGATTTGAGCGCAACCGTATTCTCCCCGCGTCTGCTTTCTCACAATCGAAAGAATTGCACTCTCGGCTTCATTTGCTATCTGGTCGGCGAACCAGTCGAACAAACTAACTTCTAATATTGCCTTATAGAAAGTAACTTTGATGACCCCAACATCGTGGTTCTTCGGCAGCTCCAGCGTTCACAACCTACTGACGTTTGTCTACTAGGTGCTGTTGATCAGCGTTACCGGTTACGATATCATTATTGTTGTGGAGGATATGAATGCTCAATTAGGTCTACTGAGCTCATCGGAATCTCAGCCAGGGGATAAGTATGGGTTTAACCCCTAACAGACGGACAGCCGCGAACACCTGTTGCAACTGTGCGCGGAGCACCAGCTGTTTCTTTGTAAAAACACATTTAGGCATAGTGGGCCACTTGGCGTCGCCGATGAATTCAAATAGGTTACGTTGCTATAAGTTGCAGCCATAACTTAGGGCAACATCGCCTAGGTGGCGGGCTTTTATTCTGGATTGCCTGCGTCGACTCAGATCATGCTTTAGTACGCTATGGTTTTTCTATGCACTCTCCCAGAACGCATATCAAGCGGTTCCTCCAATGAGTAACTGAGGATTTATCCCATCCACCGATCAGGTTAGCGTAACAGGATGCCTTGCGTACCGAACTTTCATAGTCTCGCGTTTAAAAAATCCAACTTCAGTGGACTAAGCTTTTGGCCGCCATACACAACGCGGGAAGCTCTTCTTGCGACACTATTTGTGCTCATCGCACCAGTCACCGGATATCCGAAAGGTCGATAAATCTGTTGTAGTACAGAAGTTAGCCACTTGCTGGCTCTGAGCACAATAGAACTAGACTAACCAGTAGGCGCGAACTAGAGCAGATCCTGTGTGTTGATAACGGAGTCTAGTGAACCGCTAGGATTCGACTAATAGGGAAGGCAAAGGCAGTAGATAATAATCGCAAACTCTTCCAGCTGCTTCCCACTACTGTTCCCAAGAGTGCCCTCTGGCTTGTTTTGCGATTCGCTTTCGAGAGCAGTTCAGTTTTTCCCCTGTTCTTAGGTTTCTTACCGCTCAGGTGGTGCAAGTCGGGTCATGGAGTGTTAGTTTAGAGACTCCATCGTAGGCTGAAGTGCGAAACGCGGTCCCAGCTCTCAGTCGTTTACGAGCTGCTGCGCCCCCACCATTTAGGGATGACCAGCCTGTTCGGTCGCCGGCCCGTAGCCTAAAGGTAGCGAGCTTGTCTTGCAATTTGACGGCGCGCATTCGAGTCTGCGTAGAGCCAGGGCGACCCTTAGCCCACGTGCGACCGGTGGTGCTTGCACGACAACGAAGCGTTGGTACTGCGTGCTGACGTATTGCTGCTGATTCCTCCCTTCCCTGTTCGAACAAACCTGATAGAAAGAGTCTATTACATCCAAATCTATGTAAACGACTATGGTGGCAATATACAAGGATGACAGTCACACCGAACGCTCTAACCACATGGGTATTAGCGTAACGCCGATGATGGTAAACTAATTGGACACAGTTTTCGTCCGTTGCCTCACTGTGGAACTGGGATCTCGAATTAGGGAAAAGCAAACAGGTTCCCGCCCAGGAAAGGACTTTATAGACCACATCTTCACTGCCGTAGGTTTTCGGATATTGTCACTTTTTCATAGACAGTCAATATTTGTGTTTTTGGATTTCGTGGGTGCATTCTACTCAGTGGATTGATCTGTCCTGTTCGAAGCACTTGCGCGTAAACGTGTTTTCACGAAATATAACATTTTCCTGCCTTTTACTCGAGGACCACAGGCTGCGTCAGGATTTACCGTGACTTGTCGGATGTCTTTCTAAAACAAGTAATGTTTGCCAGGTCTTTCCGATTTGCCCGTTTTTGTTCAGCTTCACCATGGAGCGTTCTGTTGTGGATTCTCACTATGCAGGTGTTAAACTTCTACCTGGTGGAAAACTAATTGGTCTTCACGTTGTTTTGCTCTTTGACGTATTTAGTGTGATACTGTTAACCCGGGAATGCATCTCTCGACTCGCCTTATCATTTGGCATGCGTTTCACATCTTCAAAGTACAATGGGTTGCTGCAAGTTCACCAGCCACTTGTGTGTCCCTTGATCGCGAGGAACTAGTATTGTAAAACTGGAACATTCTTAAATCTGCGACAACTATGACGTCTGACGCGGGTTTTCTTCTCTCTGAGATACAGTGTTTAAAAGGACACAGTGAGGGTCGTCCTATTCTATGACCCCTTCAGTCTGTGGATCTATGGCACCTTCGTAGCACCACTGTTGTCGGATAACACCAGCGTGTCTGCACCCATGATGTGTCTAGCCGAATGCTCAACGATGATACTCAGGCTACTTCCTTAAAAGAACAGATAGCGCTGAATAAGTTGCTTTGGCTTGGACACGTGCTTCGTATGCCCGGTCACCGCTTACCAAGGAGGGCCTTGTTTTGTTTGCCAGATTTAGGATGACGCAAGGCTCGAGAGTGACAAGAGTTGACTTGGCAGCGGGAAATGAAGTCACTGACGACCAACTCGGTGCTGTCGGTCAATCTGACCTTCCAGGGTGGAGTGCACGTGACTCGCCTCGTGCTTTTCTTTTGACTTTACAGGACAAGTGTCGCAGTGGACACCAATGGCGTATGTGCTACCGTACGCTAGTTGGACTGCCTGTTTAAAGTGTTTGGTGCTAGGTTGTCTGTGGGATAATGGCTGATTATGATGCGGGGCAGTGAAAGTCGCAAGAAAATTGTCTCACAGATGCCGCCATATCTTTGCACGATAGCCAGCTGTTTGTGATGGTATGTTGTTGACAAGGTGCAGGCGTCTTGACCCTGAGTGTTTGTTTGGGACATTACGTTATGACGCTAAGTCTCCCTTCTTTCCCTGTTATTATTCTTCGTTCCATAGGTCACCATGGTTATGCGGCAACGAAGCAGCGGTCCTACTGAATGCTGTACGACGTTTGATTACGATAATAAATGTAATGTGACGCATCTCATCATCCTCTCCCTCTTTCTCTACTTCTGTACTGGGGACATGTTTGGACTTCTTAGGCACGATCTTCTACTTTACCAGCAACCATTCCACGAAATTATAGGCTGTCTGAGCAACCACTGGTGGTGGTAAGCGGTGAGTCGGTTCGAAGTGTAACTGGTTCCCCTGTGCCACCGCTGTCACCGTGGGCCCATTGGCTTGGTGCGTTGATCACAGGTCCGGCGACCATGAGTTTGCACCACATAAGATCCGTTTGAAAATCGCAATATTCGTGGTTCCCACTTCAGTCCTCTTATGATAGTGGTGGTTCTAACTTGCTATAATCTAACTTCTTGAATCCTTTTACATCACCCTACTACTTCTTTGCATATTTATTAACCTCTTGACTCGTGGGCAAGTGGACAGTGGCACCCGACTCCACGCCTACTAGTCCATCTTAACTCGAACAATCGCACGGTGCTTGCTTGTACTCTGGGATCTCACTGGCTACCCACCTCGACATCCACAATCCTCGGGTCTGCTGGAAATCAGGCTTGAGCGAATGCTGTTGTGAGTCTCCGTTAACTCAGGGTCTACCCACACTCCTGCTTTATTCACTCTACCAATTACACACATCTATTCATTCATATCTTAGGTTACTTGCTGCTTACCCTAACTTCAGCCTGAAAAGAGCATCTATGAAATCGTGTTGCATTCCTCTCGTTACCAATATACAGAGTGGTTTGACTAACCCGCTTAATTCCTGGGAGTCTCTCAGTGATATGCGCCATGCTAGCCGGCATTTGGCACTCGCACTGGGTATTGAAGCTCTGTACGGTTCCAGACCCGATAACCGGACACCAACACTGATATCATGGTTGTTCAAAGGGGTTCTGTTTCACAGCAGAATGAGTCTGTAACCCTCTGTCTCCGCTCAGAATGCCTGATTCCCAATGACCTTCGTACACGCTGGACGAAAATGTTCGGTTTTGGATTTGAATATCTATACTGGTGATCCGAGCTGACTGGCACTTGGCGTTTGGTTTTGGTGGGTTAATTCAGTCGGTCACGTGGTTACATGTGATGGAATTGGTCGTTCGGTTCGTTGGACGTGGTTTCTCATCTCTGGCCTGAGCGGCTACTCATCTATATCGATCACAACGGTCTTAAATCTTTACTGTAGATAGATAATTGCCTCTCTAACTTTGATCGTTACTCTGTGTTGTCTCATTGGAAGAGCGTACCAGTCGATCACTGGAGCTCTTATATAACTGACCCTCTGCATAAGCGACCAGACTTTGGAGCACATCTCATGGACCGGGCTCCTCCTGGTAGCTATACTCGCTTCTGGTTGCCGCGTGGCCGCTTATCGCTGCCAAATAGGCGAACATGTTCGCGTTTGGCCCCTTCTCCTTACTCTCTGCGTTGGCGTACTGTTACAGGTATCGAGTTCAAATCTGTCCTGTCGCTTTTGGATTTACTGCCCTGTTTTGTCCCGATTGTGTTCGGAACTCATACACTCGAAGCAGTGGATATCCTCAAATTCACTATTCTTTTGTTAGTAGAGTTGGTATCATAATCTGTAGTGTCTTTGTCTCCTCAGAAATACCATACATCTCGTTACACACAATTATCATTAGAAAGATTTTATACTATCATTACTGTGGCTACGAGCTTTTCAAATTAGCATTTCAACGTACCATCAGAGATCACATGTCTTAGACCCTGGAGCTGTCGACTACATCGCTCTCATTCTACCGTCAAACGAAGTGCCTGTTTGTTGTTGTTGTTGTTGTTGTTGTTGTTGTTGTTGTTGTTGCCTCTACTAATTGCTGTGCAAGTTTCTCTGTTCTTTCTAATTTCGAAAATCCAACACAGTTTTAGCCTGATTGTTGTTTATCACACGTGCCCTACCTTCTTCCTACATATTAGTTCAAATGTATTTGTATAGTCTCAAATTATTTTTCATCCTTCCACCCTTCCTCTCAGGTCGTTCTGCTCTGCAACTTCAACACGAACTACTACTTCTACAAGCAGCGCACCCTGTGGCGTCGTTGCCGTCTGTATCAAGCCTCAAGCCGCAGCGACGGTGGACAGGTGTCACTCCTCTCGTTATCCTTTGCCAAAGCCGTGTACTGAAATTAATTGTGCGTTATTTGGAATCTTATGCCGCTGCTAGAGCCGGATCTGTGCCCGACTCTTATACCAACGATGGCACAGCAGTTTTGGATTGTTGGTTTGTCAACACATTGGGGACCATCTGGTGGCCATCCTATTTGGGCCGTGAGTTGGTGATGGGGTTGCGTGAACGCATGCAATTTAACGTACACGCGGCCACTATTCTGAGGAAGTAAGTAGCCTTTGGTCATTCCTTACTCATCGATCCTTGTTTTCCTTTTTTGTTCGTACATCTGCTAGCCAGTCCATCCGGCTGTCTACCCATCCCATGCATATCTTCTGTTCCCTTCTCTACAATAATGCAGCTGCACTACCTCCCTGGATCTGAGCTACTATTCGCTGGTTACGAATGATATGGTGTTTTGCCTCACCTCCCGTTGGCATCATCTGACGGAGCTCAACTTAAACGGAATACGCGAAGGCCAGGTATCGGTAGATGCGGTAGCAGAAATACATCGTACGTTTGTGCTTGCGCCGTATTCTTTGTACGTGTAGCCTTTTTTCTACCCATTTGGTCCGGATGTTGCAATGCCGTTTTGTTCTCTTTTGGACTATTAGCTAAGTCGTATGTGATTCTCGTCGTTCATCAATCACACTAGTGATTTCGGCTGTGTTGGTGTCCCTCGCGTGGACATCAGCCGCCATCAGAGATTGAGTTATCACTACCCAACAGCCTAGTGTACGCATTCCATACTGTTACATGATCCGTAGTAATGCGGTGTAGGCCGAGTGCTTACTACGCAACCGTACACTGTAGTCGTTGCAGGAAATTTCTTCTCACTATAAAACATGATAGGTGATTAATTGCTTGGAACCTTAATACTGCCTTTTCACTGCAAGAGACAATTAGTGGTTTGTGGCCAGTTCTTGTTGATTTATCTGGCCTTGCAAGTATCCGTAGTACACTGGTATTTTGTAGTGACGCTCTCTTACCAAGCTATCTCAAGCTGGGATACGCTGGTTAGGATCCTGCTATGGCGCTCGAACTCATGTGGAAGCAGCGAGTCGAACCCGATGCCCATAGATTGCAAGTCAGATGGGTGGACAAATACGCGACGTGTCCGAGGATCTGTGCAACCCGCCCCGTGTCATGTGGTCTAAAACTGCGGGTCATTGCTGCTTCGCTCAGTGACCTCATCTACTTTGCCCTGTTTCACGATGCTTCATACAGATATCGCTCTGTACTTGTGCGACGACCGACATCTTGTGGCAGCGTTGCCCTGTGTGGCCTCCTTTCCCCTCTGCTACTCTGTTACTTTATCTGAATGTTTGCTGTACATTCAAAGTACTTCGTACATATACACCTGTTAATGGTTGTCACTGTCGCAATTTCATTGCTTATAAGATGCTCGTCCTCATTACTAAATCCCGTCCTATCTTCTTTGCTTCTATTATTCTCGTACACAGGTCTGCAAAACCTCCGTTTTTTATCTTTGGACGGACTTAGAGCCGTTTGTGATGAGAACATTTGCGGCATCCTTTGTGAGTCCTTACTTGAACTTTCTGAGTTGCGTTTACCATTTCGCCACGTTCAAAGGTTGCCCGGCTCGTGGATCCTCCGCAGCGTCCCGTGGCATGCTGCCCACCCGAGTAGAGTAGAGTTAGCCTGACGGCATCTCGTCATGTCTTTAGGATAAAGGGCTTTATGTGTTTTTTTGCACGGTACTTATGCAACTGCTTGTCTCGCTCAATTTTCTGTGCATTATTCGACATTACTTATTCGTTATCTCTCTACTGTTGTCCATAGCTCTACCACATTTGCGCTGTCTTCGCATAGCTTCCACGCGAGTGACGGACGCTGGATGGATTGAGGCTAGGCAACGCTTAAATCAGACCGGTTGCAGCTGCTTACCCTTACGGGAGCTGAATGCATCTGGCCTCGGATCCTCTCTGACGAACTCTGGCTTGAGCGCGATTGTCTCTCTCTTTCCTCTGCTCATGCGCTTGCACTTGAGGTCTGCTCATGTAAGTGTCGTTTTATCATTGTCCGCCTTGAAACCAACATTGCTTTTCGTCACAGATCACGGAGGACATAGAACCCGGAATTCCACCCTTGGAACATCTCACCTACTTGGACATAACTTGCTGTCAGCATCTGCGTTGCCTGCCTCACGTTTTGATACCTCCCTGCAGTGCGTCGTTCGATCACTCTGGGCTGACCGAGATACGCTTGGAACATTGCAGCCTGCTGGATTTGCTGACCGTTGTGGATCAGCTCAAAGGTAAGCAGCTCATTTGTGGAGGGTTTCGGTGTTGCCTCATGGCATCACTGCACTGCACGACTGACGGCTTCATCCTTGTTTGGACTCAGGAAGTAGAGATACCTGCGTTGGGAGTAGAACTAGATACATGGTGGTTGGCGGCTATCCCCATGGTAACTAGGCCATTGTGTTTTGTGTTGGATTCTCCTTCCCTGTTACTGATAATTAGAGGGCCATACAACTCGGTGTACATTCCTCACTGTCAATTTGTGTCGGATGATTAAATGCTATTCAGACAGCTCGGCTTCCGCTGTTGGTCTGCCTTTGCCTCATAGTGAAGCCGCTTTTATCACTCAAAAATGCTCCATAATGAGATCGATACTTTCTAGGTTTGTAAGAAAATCTGAAGCCTCGTAATCAGCCGGTTCATATAGTAAAAACATTGAAAAGCGATGCTTTTCACTGAGAGATTTGCTTTAAGTCAGACTGGTGTTTGCACTACTGCACTCATACACATCATATACGGTGGAAATCTTATGAGATAACACTTGATTGCCTCATTGATTCGTGGCCGGTTTACGTTGATGGAAAACGTACTCCCTATGCACACACACACACACGTACACAAGTTAGCTATCTGATGGTAGCCGGTTCCGTATTATGCGCACACCTAGAGCCTCGCACTGCCACTACGACTTTAGCTCAGTCACAGCCAGCAGTCCCTCAAAGCTACCAGTCTAAGTGGAGAAATCGCATATCTAAGCCCCTACCAACTCCCACCGATTGCGACTGGGACTGACAAATCATTGGGCAGTGCGGATTCGGCACACCTCAGTCAGCAAAAACAACCTGCAGCTCATGTGTCGTCAGCTGAGGCGTCGGCAACTGCGCGACGGGATTTCGACATTGGCATTATTGGCCAGTGTGTTGGGGTATATTACACACCCACTGATGTATCTGCGTAAACTACCAGAATCACAATCACAACGCTATCTTAAAAGCTATCTTAAATGTCTAAGTAAAACTATGCAAATATGCAAAATGCTCTGGCTTTGTGCTTTCAATATGCCGATTACGAGTTGCTATATTTCTATCTCAAGACCAGTGTCGTTTATGGTTTGCCTCACAATTTGGTACTTCCTCATGTGTAAATCTCAGATACAACGAATTCCGGCAGATAACAACATATCACATCGTTTCCTCAGTGCCATCAACGGTGACTCGACATCATGTTCAGTTGGTAACAGATGCACTCTGGCATGCATACGAATGATGTATGGGGAGGCCTGGCATTTCCGTCTGGTGACATGTGGCTACCTTGGAAAACAACACGCCGATTTAATTCAGTTGATTATATCAGCTTCGGCGAAAAGGAAGGTCCCGAGTATAGCATGATGTAGTAAGATTTTGTACACCGATTGACTTCGACCCATTGACCTGAGGTCAATAAGTTCCTACCGATTGAAATGACCGACGACGTGCGTGAACAAGTGGCTTGAGTTGGGCACCAGTGCTGCATAGCATAACGCTCGAGTGTTTGCCTTATCTTAACAGCTTACGTCGTCTAGGTCATATCTTTCGTACGCCGGCCGACCCACTTCCTCGGCGTGCATTATAGGCTGTGGTCGCACCAATTTGGGTGAAACCGCGAGGTGGCCACCCCATGACGTGCTAAGGGAACTTGAAGAAATTGACTGAGAGGCTTGGTCAGGCTGGTGCGTGCCGTCTTCGTGGATGGGAGCCTCGGGATGGTCCACACCAATGGTTGGAGACCGTATCAGACATGTTGCAATCACACAGTCAGTGACGTTCCTGCATTCTGTTTCTTGCATCCGGTCGTTAGTTCTCGTTCCAGTTTGATTGGTCCAACGCACCTCCTTGCTTCCACTTTTACTACACTCTATTTGCATTCGATCCCGCTATCTTGTCCTTGCTATTTATTGTTATTCCTGTGCCTTCTCTCTAATGCAAAGGTAGGCGTTCGTTTGACGATCGGCTTGCGGTGAGGGTGGGGTGCAGGCAGTTGGTTCTAAACTGTGGCATTCCCTTGTTCATCCTTACTTCATTTACCTCGTGGACGACAATCGCCCCACGTCATACACAATGTAATTTCAGCACGCTCATGATTTGCATTCTGAAAGCCTACGTCTGCCCATCTTCTCTTTCACTTTGCTATTTTACCTTACCCCATGTTGGTTGCATTCGACAGAGAAGAAGAGAGCGGTAGCTTCTTCAGTAAGCTCAACGGATTAGTGTCGTGTAGATAGGACGTGATATGTTATGCTCTCCAACAGGCGTCACATTCTCCTGTGCAAGTTGTTATGCTCGGACGCAGACATTTAAATGTTTGAACACGCTTAATCTCTTCCGGCCGAATTTGACCCACTCTTGCACCAACAAATACGAGCGGCATATATTATACTTATGCACGCGCAACTTGTCATTCGAAGCGAAACCCTCTCCTAACCATCGCGATACTCGAGTTAATCTCAACGCCATGCACCTATATACATCTGCCGCTTGTGCTCAGCAGGTGACCGGTTCAAGCCTGTGTGGATGCTTTGATTTCGCAGCACCTGTGGGCCGTAAGCGACTACTGAAATCTGCTTGAGAGCGAAGAGTTGTTTCACTGTGGCGGCACGCCACTGATCCCGTGCATCGGTTAACGCAGCTACGTATAGAGCAACAGTAACCACGATCTGACCACGTATTTGATGGCCACCGGCTTGCGAAATCTGTCTACGTGTGTGTTGCGGGACCCCGTCCTGCATGTACTCATGGGCTGCAGTTGCGTCCACAACTACAGTCATACCGATCGAATTTACCAAGGTTCACCCCATTGCTAATCGCAGTCCATGAATAGGTATTTTGAATAAATTCATGCATAGTCCAATGTCTTGGGATTACATAAATTCACAAAGGTTGGACAAACGTCTTGGCGTAATATCGAAAACGTAATCACGTTGTAACGGCTGTCGAACATTTGAGTGTACCTTGTTAGTGTGAAATGTTTGTGCTATTGTACCCTGCATGAGATGTCATACACCTCGAAGTGAATCCGCTCATGTAATTCGCACACAACGCGGACATGTCAAGTTTGGTGAGACCCAGTGCGGAAATATGCTTGGCAGAAGCTGCGAATGCATTATATTTACTGCCGTAGGAAAATACCCAGTGCACAACACGGACTGTAACTTCGCATGAGCACCTACACTGTATTTGTCGATTTTTACCTAGTAGCTACGTGTCATTCTGTAGGTCCCGCACGTTACCACCTCCCTTACATGTGCTGTGGAGTTCTTGATGACGATTACATCCAGTCGATGTACGTTGATGCCGCTGGGGTGCGACACTCCGGGATGATTTGGACTCATTTGCAACGAAGCGTGTTGGTTAGTTACTTCACGATATCCTTGTGCCTCTTACAACACGCATCGTGGGTTTTTGTACAAGACTGCAAGCGTGGGAATGTTTCGTTTTGTCCGCATGCGCACCGGCAGAGATAATCCGTCAGATTTGAGGATGGTTGTCCCCTCGGAGCATCAGAATTTTGTCCATTGCACACTTACTCGAAATTGAGTTCCTTTGATATAGAATCTGGATCAAATTATCTTGGGATTTCTTATCCAGTTGTGATAAGCCGGTGTCGCAATTTCCCCGCGAAGCAAGGATCCGTCTACGGATTGTAGCAGCGACTTCTCCCGTGGTTTCCTCGCGTCACTTTTGTCAAAGACAGCTTGATTCCCCATGATCACGGGTGTCTTAGCCACTGTAGCTTCCCATATTGCCCAGCTGGTGGTTGGTTTGCGGACTTAAACATGGCATTCAAGGCGATATCTTGGAACATATTTGGAAGCGATCGGAAGTCATGTTTTCACAAAGTTTGGTAGACGACCGGTTAATGTATTTATGGTAATAGACAACGTTTCGCTTTTGACACAACAACTTCATCAGGCGAAGTGAATTATCTTAACATTGGCATTTTATAGCGATCATGACAAAGCTACATGCAGGCACGAATCAATTTGCAGTTCATCAATGAATGATTACAGCGGTCAAAGGTCACTATGTCTAGTTGTCTATGTCTATGTCTAGTTGTTAGGTAGACGTCTGGGTGAAATCTGCATCCATGCGAGTCAGCTTCGTTTGAATTTACAGACTGCGGTGGCACTGAGTGATTATGACAGACTTTGCAATAAGGCCTTCGAAGTTAAGACAGCAAGAGAACGGGAGTCGAAGGTTGATAATCGTACTGATTAGCAAGTATCTAATAGCAACTATTGTACAGTTGTTAACATGTCAGATAGAGAGTTAAGTGTAACAGAGCGTAGAGTTTTATAAAAGGGTCTGAATTTTACTTTCAGCAAATCTAAATTAAGGACAGAAGATATAATTCCTGGAGTTGAACCCGTTATGACTAGATTACCACTTGAAAAGGCTGAGGACATCCGCGCCCAATTAGCAAACATACTTAGATTACAACAGCCGGTAGCATCGAATCTTGCTCCAGCTGAACACATAGCGTTAAAGACCCTGAAAGTGGATACTAGTATTGTCATTACAAGAGCGGATGAAGGTGATAATGAATAAAACAGATTATTCAGAAAACATGAAGGAGCATTTGACCACGGGACCATACAAAGAGGTTGAGCAGAAATCCATTACATCGGTAATGAATAAGAAGAAATCAGATGTCGCTAGTTACCTAAGAACCGTGAAGGATAGTTTAGGTAAGGGCAAATGGTACGGTATTTATCCGGAGTCGGCTATTCCACCTAGAATTTACTGTCTCCCAAAGATACACAAGCCCAATGTCCCCTTGCGACCTATAGTGGATGGCATAGGCTCTCCCACACATGAACTCGCGAGATATCTGGCGAGCCTGCTGCAAACCCTAACAGGGAGAACGAACACACTTGTAAAGAACTCTTATGAGTTTGCAGGAATGGTGCGAGGGGTGAGCATCGAACAAGATGAATTGATGGTCAGCTTCGATGTTACCTCCTTGTTCACGAATGTACCTAAGGAGGAGGCGTTACGATTAGCGAGAAACTGCTTGGTAGGGGACAGCAGCTTAGAAGACAGAACAAAGCTGACAGTGGATCAACTGGTCGCGGGGATAGCTTTGTGTCTCGACATGACTTATTTCACATTCCAGTCTAGGATGTACACTCAAGAACAGGATCTGGCCATGGGATCTCCAATATGCCCCGTATTAGCCAATATGTACATGGGAGAGTTTGAAAAGAAAGCATTACCAAATTTCCGTGGTGTCCTGATAGTATGGTGGCGCTACGTGGATGACACTTTTGCGATTATAAAAAGAGATAGAAAAGAGGAATTTTTAAACTATTTGAACTGCATTGATGATGCGATAAAGTTCACCATGGAACTTGAGTCGCAGAGCGGTACACTTCCGTTCCTTGATTGTCTGGTACATAGGAAGGAAGGAACGTTAAAAACGACAATGTATCGCAAACCAATAAACACAGATGGGGTACTTAGCTATAGTTCAAGTCATCCGAAGCACGTGTACGCAGGAATCGCTTCATCACTATTTCACAGAGCAAGTGCTTTGTGCACGGAGGAAGAAGATAGGAAGGCAGCGCAGAGAAAGGCGATGGAAACCTAATAGCTAGCGGATATCCGAAGCGATTGGTGAAACGACAGCTACAGAAATGTCTACACCCACGCGCAACACCAACCACAGAGTGGATAGCGACAGTGGTTATTCCGTATAAAGCAGGAACTTCGGAAGCGATTCGGAGAGCACTGAATAATGAACAGATAAGGGTAGTTTTCCAGAAGGGTCGAACGCTACGGTCCACGCTTGTGCATCTAAAAGATTCACTACCCTTAGATAGAACAACTAATTGTATTTACAAAATTCCATGTAAAGATTGTACGCAAGTGTATATAGGCCAAACAGCGAGGGAATTACGTACAAGGATTTCAGAACATAGGCGACACATATCACGACCTCCGCGAAATGAGTTAGAGTATGGAGCTCTACTCAGAGATTCGGCAATAGCAATGCATGCGCTAGACAAGGGGCACAAAATTGACTTCGAAAATGTGGAGGTTATCAGGAAGGGATTACGATTAACCAAACAAAGACTGATTGTTGAGGCTATAGAAATAAGCAAGGCTAACAACTGCGTGAATCGAATAGACGGAGTAGGGCTGTCTAGTGCCTGGCGTCCAGTCTTACTCCGACCAGCTTGATAAGCATTTGTGGATGGGTCCCAAATCGGAATGAACTATCGACCCACACTCCACTGAATTCCAAATTCCTTACAACGGTTCAGTTAAGATTGCTAGCCACACATGTAACTCTCCGCGGACCGGCAATTTCCTTTCCCCACTTGACCCTGACTGAAAAAATCTGCAATGTATCCACGATCATAGTGACCTTTGACCGCTGTAATCATTCATTGATGAACTGCAAATTGATTCGTCCCTGCAAGTAGCTTTGTCATGATCGCTATAAAATGCCAATGTTAAGATAATTCACTTCGCCTGATGAAGCTGTTGTGTCAAAAGCGAAACGTTGTCTAGTACCATAAATACATTAACCGGTTATCCACCAAGCTTTCTGAAATCGGGGCATTCTAGGCGGTCTTTCCGGAGCACTGGGCTGATACTAGAAAGACACGGAACGCCTGGGCCAAAATGCCTATTTGATACATGAGAGAAAGGGACGCTCGTGTCGTGGGGGAGTCATAGGCATTTTCCTATACTTACCCGAACCAAATTTCGCTGCACCCTTCCATTCACACTGCGAATACTTCAGAGTGACCCGTTCAATGACTAATAATTATGAACGTAACAATATATTGTGGTACTAATTGGTTCATTTACATAGTGAACTGTGTCACCTACCACTTTGTGTGGTTGCGAGAATGTTCTTAAGCCAGCACTATATATGCTGGTTTGTGTTACTTCCTATTCATCATTATGCACAGCATAGGACTTCATAGACTGTAGTTTATTGAAATACTGTGAAGTGTAGGCTTGAGGTTAGAGAATTGTGCGTGCGCTGTGTCTTTCATGCATTTCTAACACACTAATGTGAAGGGAGTCCCATGATGCGTTGACGGATGACTGTGATTCCGGACTACAAGGGGCTTAGGGATACAGGGTTTAGCATATAACTGTTACTCCTTTACGCGTGCTCCTATTTCACCCATCAGGAAGTAGGTCGCTGAAGAAAGGCTTGCGAAGACTGCGTGCACTTCCTTTATTTATTTTATACTGTGGTTCCTTTGGTCGCCCCCCCCCTTCGTGTGACAGCTGAGTGATCCGTGTTTACTTCGTCCCAGCAACTGATTTGATTGTGCTGTGTTTCAGGACTTTGTAGGATTTCACTTTACAAGCGTTCTCTTTGCAAAAAGCTACAAATGTCAAATCATTAACGGTGCAATACAGCCGATGTGACTCGCCACCAATTAAGTTCGCTGCCCCTTGCTTCACTACTGCAGAGTATTGTAATCCGGCGACTGGACGCTGGATGTAGTAATCCGCGGTTTGGACCTGTAAATCAAATATCGGTCCCCTGTTTTCAATGGGTGAGATTCTCTGACTTCGCTCCGCTGCCTTTTAAGTGGGCCATTCTGCTTATGGTTCGTGGTGAGGTCCTCTAAGACAACTCACTACTTCGGCTTGGCCAACCAGAATTATCACGCTCTCTGCAGAAACTGGATTTTTCGTTTGTTACGATAACTGTACCTTCTATTATTTTCCTTGGTTATTGTTGGTTCTATTTTATCCGTAGGTTGTTGAAAACAGGAATCTTACTTTCTGATCCACTTCAATAGTTTTCGCTACCAACCAGTGTCTGTCTGTTTATGTGGATAGTTTCTACTTCTGTCCACTGCAAATTTTGTTGTCTCCTTTAGGACGACACATTAGTCAATTTTTCCACAGAGCACATAGTGTAATCGCACTGAAGTCAAAGGGATTTTCAGCTTTAGTAGGGAGTTGTTTCATTTTGCCCTAAATATGATGTGGATGAAATTAGAGCACCCATATCTTCTACTCTCTCGTTCACCCGATGTCCAGCCTTTATTATTTAAGTAGTGTGTAACTCGAAGCGCGTTTTTAGCCGCATTAGATTGTGTTTATACGTAACTCGGAACGAGGCCTTCTCGTATCGATGAACTTTCGCTGTTCGAGAGTGCAACACCGTTACAATATGACTTGGAGGTCCATTGGATAAGTTATTGGGGAAAACTTCTATTGGTCACTGTGATGGCAGAAAGTCACTTTTCTCCTCTCCGTACGCCCTACACCCACATGTTGGGGCTACTGTGTGAGGCAGATTGTGAGTTACTCTTGGATACAGCTTAAGGATCACCAGGAATCTGTATCTGACGTTCATGTTGTCCTTCCTATTGCCTTACTGTTACTTTAGGTCACCCAATCCGATGTTTGCGGGGATTGGAAACGTTGGACTCGTTGAACGCATATTCACTGGAAGCGTATGCCGGTACGTGCACTACAACCACCATATCACATCCCACTTATTCATAATCTTTACATATGAGTCGCCTAATCACAGGTCAACTATAAGCTTCCTCTCGTGATCAAGTGTTCCAGGCTAGTGGCCGTCTTATACACAATGCCTTAAACAGACCATCCAGTATATGACCTAGGCTATCGAGTACACGGATGGCGTAATGTACGCAAATATGATATCACTCACGATGGCGTTGTGGGATCCTTGATCGTTATTCTGTTTCCATAAAAGCGTTGCCTTTATGTGACCATTATGTCCTGCAAAATAGTGCGTAGCCGCTAATTATCTCTCCCATAGGTTCTGTTCTGTTACCAGCTGCCTATAGAATAGACATCGGACCATCAAAAATTATGGAACAAATGTACGTATTAAGTACAGTGACCAAAAAAGGAATATACATAAAGTAAAGTTCATTTTGGTATTCTTCACACGTCGTTTCTTTCTTTTTTGTCAGTTTAGTGATTACGGTTTTAATCAGTAGAATCAATGAATAGAATTATGCAAACATTCCGTTGGCCCCGATTACATGCCATGTCTTTAGGAGTCTTCGACCCGCGGTGTTCTCCATCTCTGACTCCCCAGCCCGAAACACTACGGGACCGACAGCAACTGGACTGGAAGTTTACGCCGTGAAAGTTTTGTCGCCGTGTAGTAGGTCGTCCACCGCAGGATTTCTTCCAATGCGGCCGTGAGTGAGCGCGCCGTATTAAACACTCGCACGGCTGGCGTACAACGTGACCAAGCCACCTCAGTTGGCGCAGCGATATTAGCTTATCGAGTGGGAGGCTCATGCCACCCAGGACGCGCCGTTTAACACCGTCGTTACAAACGGCGTGTTCCCACCACACACGAGCTTTCTTTTGCAGGCACACCTTGTCAAACACCGAAATTGTTTGCACGGATCGGTCAGGAGTCATTTTCATACAACAGGACCACGCGAACACACACATTGTAGACCTTGCCCTCTACCGAGAGTGAAACGTCACAACGATGCCACAGATACCTCAGAACAGCGCAAGCTGCTCGGGCTTTAGCAATACGGAGCGAAATCCCTTTACGGTAGTGCCATCAAAATAGATTTAGCTTCCAAAGTAATTGCAGCTATCTGCTTGTTCAAGCTGCTTGCCTTCAAGAATTAGCACTGGAGCATGTGGAAGCCAATCCTGGAGTCGTACCTTGCATTTTGATTTGGCAAATGTCATGCCATACCTAGCAGCTACACACACCAAGCGGTTTAGATCGACCTGCATAGCCTGTGGATCGTCACCAAGCAAGGCAATAACATCAGGATAGTCCAATTCAGTCACGTGGTTGCCTGGAAGTGGCTCTACGCCATAACCCTGGGCACCATCCAGAGTGCTTATAAGGACGTCCTCAATCGCAACGATGAAGGGAAACGGAGACGTGGATCATCCCTTTCGCACACCGCTAGGGATGAAGAAAGGTGAAGAGCGCTCTCACCCTGTTCATCATCATCATCATGCACGTTAGCTAGAGGTGGGAAACACCTCAGCTACTATGCCGCAGTACACAGAAAAAAGGAGAAAAAAATGCAACTGGTGCAAGCCGGCTAAGCTACCAGTAACAGATGAGCATCGTTCCGGTAAGCTACCAGCCGGCTACTGTGCATCAAAAAAAATTACCATGCACAATTTTATGAGGTTGAATAGTGAGTTGGCGGTTGGAGGGGCGGCTAAGAGGGATGGGATGGGACAAAGAAACTCACAGTACAAACGCCACTGAGGTCGGCTCCTAGCCATATCAGCAAGTGTATCCAGCCAAACTTGTTCATCGTCTTTCGGACCCCAACCAGGGTGCCGAGACGCTCCAACCGAGGCCAGCTCATAAGTAAGGGCCTTCATTCCCCTCGACCCAGTCATCGCTTGACCACCCCTCCTCTTCTTCCATCCGCATCCCCGGTGAGCAAACAACGCACATCGCGGAAGTCGGTGGGCTGGCACGCGTAACACGTCGCCGAGCCATAGGAGCCTGGTGCGTGACATGACGGTGCTGAGCGGTTCAGTTCTTTTTCCTGTGCCGTAAACAAGGCGTTGAACACGCTCGTTGCTCACGCGGTGTTCCCACCAGATGTATGCTAAATTGCAACGGCACTGTGGTCGAACGTAACTAGCCTCTTTATGTCCGTTGGTCTAAGGGGCCAGGTTTCACAACCGTACAGTAGGGTCGAACATACTGCTGTATTGTACACTCTACCTTTCAGGGCAAGAGTGATGTCGCGCCGGCGCCATAAGTGGCGAAGGTTAGCAAAAGCACTTCGAGCTTTTGCCATAAGGCTCGTGATCTCGTTTTCGATCCCACGGGCGCTGATGCAGCTTCCCAGGTAGTTGAATTTTCGAACGACTTCTAGCTGATCCACAGCAACGGTCAGCGTAGGAGTCGGTCCAGACCAATCTTGAAGGAACGCTTTGCACTTCGAGGGTGCGAAGCAAAGCCCGAAATGACGGACAGCTACTGCTAATCTTTCCAACGCGGCTTGGCATGTCTGGGAACTGTCACACATTAGGGCAGTATCATCAGCATACTCTAAGTTAAGAAGTCGTTCTCCCTTGAACTGATCCACTCCTTCTAAGTCATGTCCAGTAAACGCGATTTCCACTTTGTTAGAGACTTTGTTGTACAAAGCATGAAGTATGATGGTATAATTTTCCGGTGTCCCATTACTTTGCAGACAGCGCCATGAAGCCGGCCGATCGATCCAGTCGACTATGCCATTGGCCTCGATCACTATCTCGTGATCGTCCCTATCGTTTTTCTTGGGAGACAGGGCATCCCTTTTTGACTTTCCATCTGGTCCACTAAATGTTACAGCCAGATGAATTAGAGGTATGATCGCAATGCGCATTCACATTTACGCACAGTGAGCAGTGGACTTATCCGCTGGAATGCGTTCTCCGGTGGAACGGTGGATGCACAGCCGTCTTTACCTGAGCATTCCTCTAACTCTTTCTACTGGCAACTGATTTCGTTTCCCTTTGTTCTCGGCAGCTTGTGAACACACAGCTGTATGGGTGGACACGGCGTTGTGCGACAAATCTACCATTCGTCACTTTCCCTGCTTGTTTCTAACCGAACAATTCGAAGACAACTCTCGGTCGTGCGGGATCACTAATTCCGACGCCTCGATGAAGCGAAGAATGAAACCTCCGTGATCTAGTCGTTATTGAAGCGTTGTTAGAATTTATATGTCTCTGAAAGAGCTATCGCTTTGGACACGAGAGTAATTGATCTCATTCATCGATCTTGCGAATATGCGGTATCCAGCATTTCTCACTATTGTCTTAACGTGTCCCGACTGCTCACGTACTTCTTCGACCCATTGTGCTATACTAGGTGTGTCCCGTGGCCGTGGTCAAAGGTTTCTGATTAGATCACTGGTTGCATATTCGTGAAACGTTACTATCAGCAGGTATTTCTTCATGTGGTAAATCAATTTGCCAACCTGGACATTGGGTGTCTACACAGTTTCTAGAACTTACTTATGCTCGCCGACGTATTCCGGTTGGAAACGAATACATTGAGACTGACGGCAATTTCACTGCAAAACTACTTGCGAGCCTGAAGAGAGACCGCGAAGCCGGGTGGTCTCATGGTGCATTGCAGATGAAAACAGCCGTTGCCATTGACAAGCATCACGATTTAAGCAGGAGACCTGGTGTTAACGAAACCATACGCGATGAGAGTGCACAGCCGATTCACAGCTTGTCAAAACGCTTGGAGCGGTTAGCCGAACACTTTGCAAGTCGGTTTAACCAATATGGGTTATCACTTTCCTTTTTGAGTATTGAGTGCCCTTCTCTCTGGACCGTCGCCTTAGGTGCGCCTTTACGCGCTGAAGTCGAAGGTGGTGAGATCAGACTGTTAAAATTACGTAAGTCCGCGAGGGCAGATAGGATTTCCCCAGCCCTCTTCGAATTCGGGGACCTGCTCTTGTAGATGATTTACACGAGCTACTAGTGCAAATTTGGAAGCAGGAGACTGTCCCGACAGACTGAAGCCGCTCCGTCATTGTCCCAATTTTCAAAGGAGGCTCCACTTCGGAATGCAGCAATCATAAAGGGATCAATGATCTCAATTGCCTATAAATTGCTTGCATCTATCGTTGTCCACAGACTGACTGGCACTCTTGAAAGCCAGATTCGTGAAGAGCAAATCGGGTTTCGTCGAGGTCGGGGCTGCATCGACCACATCTTCACTTTGCGTCGATTGTTGGAGCACTGCCATTTTTACTGATGACCCCCCGTTGTCGTGTTTCTCGACATCAAAGGTGTCTTCGGTTCGGTGGATCGACGTACCCTTTGGGATTGTCTGCTGAGGAAAGGTGTGCCCGATAAATACGTAAACATTATCAAAGCGCTGTACGCTCATAGTTCCGGCACAAGAAGGTAAATGGCAAACGGTCGCCGCCCTTCAGTATCTCCAGTGGTGCGGGTCACGGTTGCCTGATGTCTCCTTTCCTCTAACTTTGCTATTCACCAAGTCACAGAAGCAGCGTTCGTTGGAAACGATCTTGAAGGTGTGTATCTACTTTCTGGTGAGCAATTTCTTAGAGTATGCGGACGACATTGCCCTGATCTGTGACAGCTCCCACACGTGCCAAGCATCACTGGACCAATTAGCACTGGCTGTCTATGGTTTTGCGCTATACTTTGCCCTCTCCAAATGCAAAGTCCTCCACGGTTTAGCAGGGACCCTTCCCGGATTCTTGGTGGGGATGAGCTAGGAGTTGTTCAGGAATTCAAGCACCTTGGTAACTATGTTAGCGCCCGTGGGATTGACGATGTGGTTACGAACCTCTAGCCCCTCTAGCCGTGAGGGGCGGGGTTTATAATGCAGCCGTCCGTTCAACTTTCTTATACGATTGTGGAACCTTGTCCATCAGGTCGACAGACATAAAGAGGCTAGCGACGGTCGATCATCGTTGCCTTCGCAGCTTAGCTGATGTCTCCTGGAAGCACCGCGTGAACAGTGAATGTCTTTGGCGTCGCGTATTTGGTGCAGGAAGAGCGAGTGAACCGCTCAGCACCTATACCACGCACCATGTTCCGATGGCTGGGTCGCGTGTTGCGCATGCTAGCCCATCTACTCCCTCGACGTGCGCACCGGAGGTGCGGTTGAAAGACGAGGAGGGGAGGCCAAGCGATGACTTGGCCGAGAGAAATGAAAACCCTCACTTCGAAATTGGCGTCGATTGGTACATCCCGACTGCTTGGCTGAGGTCCTAAGGAGGATGAACACGTTTGGTTGGACATACTTGCTGATATGGCGAAGACCGTTTGTGTTTTGAGTTTCTTCTTTCATCCCTGTGGCTCCTATCCACCTGCTTCCCGGTTTTATTCCTTCGGGTTTACACTGCATATTGGGGATGTGGATGGAACAGCGAGTGGTGCAGCGTCAGCCACCCATGGTCCCTCATTATGCGCAAGCCTCCCGTGGCTGTCCTATGGAGGCAGTGATATATATATATATATATATATATATATATATATATATATATATATATATGCCGTGTTGGCGGCATCCGGTTTCTGATTTGCCTATCACTAAGACCGCGAGCACTCACAGGACACTTTCTCCGCCGGGCACCATTATCGCTGGGTGATCATTGCGCCTTTCTCATCAAGTTGTCATCTTTCTTAGGACATTTACTCGTGGGATCATTGATGCTAGGTGTGTAAAACGGGAACTTCAGGAGACTCGTTTGTTGCTCGGAAAGCTTTTAACGAAATTATGGTACTTGTTTTCTGTGTATTATATTTCAGCGGCTGGATTTCCTCTCATTGAACTTGGTTTGCGCCCCATCAATTTTGACTGGATGGTCCAGTCGCCGAGACTCCTAGCTCAGATACTGCTCTCTGTAGACCCTTCACATCTTCTGTGGCTGTATCTACCACAACGACCCATCGAGAGAGAAACTGGAGACGACTCCTTGGCAGTTGCGCTACAACTCTTGAAGAGATTCGAGAATCTGAAGTCATTGGATATGGGCGACCAAGTGAGACAGGAATTAGAAGTTAACGCAGTCAAAGAAGTCCTCACCCATTTACTAGAACTCAGGAGCATTGTTTTCGTCGGTTTGCCGTGAGTTTCCTCGCTTTTATTCTTTATCCTTTTGCCTCAAGTTACCCGATTACTGCACGGAAACTTCACATGTCGAAGTGATTCCGTATTCATTTCACTGTGCATTGCAAAGGACTGGACATCATGATATTACCCGTTAGTAAATCCTTCTACCTGTCTTTCCGATTGAACAAGTGATTTTGCTACATGTGCGCACTTACGAAATTTCAGCGGTGCGTTTTATCAAATGGGTGTTGAATATTTCGAAGTCGAAACGTTACACTATACTTTGCTCGTTGTATTCAGTTGCAGTTTGTTTTACTACAGTACTCATTGTAAAATGAGATTTTCCAAACTGATTGCCACCAGTATTTTAATAGGTTAAAGGACTATTGCTGCAAAGGAAGTGATCTACGATCGGAGACTAATGGCATCCCCATTCTTTTCGATCCGACTCTGCGGAGCCACAGACACAGAGACAACACAGCTTCAGATAGTTCTCTGCGCATTAGCTGAAGTCCAGTTTGTTCTTACAGCATGACCTGTGGCTTCCGATGCTTTGATCTGTTTTCTGCTCAGTGACTTTTCCTGGAATGGATCCCATGATTGCTGAGTGCCATATTTGGTATGAACCGTTTGAAGCTGTGCTCTATGTGTAGTCAAGTTCTCTTCCGGTGGTTGCTTGATTCATACTTAGGCGTACTAGGAAGCAGCTGATCTTCTGCAAATCTGCCAAATCCCTTCTATTTCAAATGGACTAGAATAAACCAGTCTGTAGTACGAGGGCTGTGCAGCTTGTGAGGACTGGTAACTTTAGAGTGTGGTAGAGAAAAGCTACGTTATTTCTCAGTTGTTGCAGCCATAGGGGGCCACATTGCATGTGCTGATGGTTATTTACTAGAGCACATACTACCAGAATATTTAGATTGTAAGGAAATGTAGCCATTGTCCAAAGTTCGTTACCTCATGCGCTTTCATCATCATTATACACATCAGCTAGAGGTGGGAAACCCCTCAGCTACTATGCCGCAATACATAAACGAAAAAAGGAAAATAACTGCAAAAGTTGCATGCCAGTTGAGCTACCAGCAACGGATAGGCATCGTTCCGGTAAGCTACCAGCCGGCTACAGCTTTACGGCATAGCGGATACGCTGCTCATGACAAGAAACGTACACTGCGGCAGAACTACGTTTAGTTTTTCAGCGAGATCCCTACTTTGTTTACAGTGAAGACCAACTATGAGTCAGCTCAGTTAGCACTGTTTGAACAAATCCAATAAAACCACGGACACAGCTATGTTGAGCATTCTGCTCAAATTTTATAATTCAGGATCCTCCCATCGGCTGTGCGAACAAATGAGATCGACTACACTTGAGTCATGACGCGAGACTACTTCAGCAACAGATGCTCTTTGTGGAGCACAGGTCACCAGGTTAACCTCGGCTTATTTCTCGCAGTCCTCGTATTGAGCCAGAAGTTGCAGTCTCGAGCTTCTTGAAGTCACTCTTATGGATCGACAGCTGTCGCTGCTTCGTATGCGAGCGCGTCTGATGGTGACTCAGAGCCCATCGGGATAGCGCGAAGCGCACTAGTCCATCTCACATGGCCTCGTCTTATTGGAATCACATTGATTGCTTGTAAGTGCTTAAGGAGATTACGCGAGTTGGTGACATCACCCCATAACTCCCTTCTTCCAAGGTTATTGTTGTAAAGGAAATTCCATGCTTCGGATTACTGCTTATTTTTAATCAGACTATTAATTTGGTGCTTTTTTCATTGTTTTTCGCACATACGTCATTTCCCTCTTGTTACCACGCTGGGGTTGTGCTCACTTAGTTGAGCTGTGCTAGAATTTATTCGACCAAGCATGGATGCAGATCTTTGCGTCTAAACGCAAACTCCTACCCACGTGTCCTGGGCTTTTTGTCATATTGATCTGTGAACCGTCTGAAGAATACTCTCTTGTCTCCGTACCTGCCTCTATACATCATTTATTGAGTGTTATAATCTGTACACCAGTGGACCTATTTGACTAATTTGTGGTAAATCTTATGCCTGTTATCCCCTCTGGTTACTACGATCATATTGATCTTAACCTCGTCACTCTTCTTTTCAGCGAGCAATTTGAGGAGTCCCTTGCTTCTGCCTGTCCTCCGCAATGTTCCATGCAAGTACAGTATTTTATGTGATCTATTCTTTTCTATACAGTTTTTATTTCCTGATTCTTCTTTTATCCTTATCGAATGGGGACCTTTGAAAGCTGGGTATTGTGCATAAATATGTTGGAAATTTGATGATCGGAGCCGGGTGATCAAACAGGGGTTGTTGTTTTAGACAGCATTTCGATAACCTCATCAAACAAACGTGGAAGTCATGACGGGTTTTGGAGATTGCCTTCATCGCTACCCCATCCAGTATTGTTCGACTCCATTCACTGTCCTCCGTCCGTGATTATTGTTCAGTTCTGGCAATTCATCCCTTTTGCTTAAAATTTCTAGCTTACTTGACCAACTAATCGTCTGGCTGGAGGAACGCGAAATACGGAGGTGAATGCCGGTCGGATTTCTCATTGTTGTTGCATTCAACTGCTTGACCATATGCGCAGCGAATGCACCACTGGGTTGGCCTGTCGATCATCTCTGTGAAGCCTTACGCTTTGATACTGTGTCACTTATATGTACAAACCAGCGTAACACCCATTGGCGGTGGGGTCATTTTCGATATTCCGGGCTCCCAACTCCTTAATCCACAACCGGTTGCGATCTTGTTTATGAGGCGAAGGTGGCCAAAGGAGTTGGGACTGAGACCTGGGATCTAATATGGTTAACAACCACTGAACTCCTCGACCAACAGAGTAACATTTTAATTACACATTAGGTATTCCAACACCAAAAACTGAACATGTACATCGGCTACATTCTTGTTCTTTGCGCGTCAATTCCGCTCCAAGAACACAATGGTTGCTATCTCTTTTGTCACACTGAGATGCCCCGTGGAAATGTTACCTCAGGCTTGAAGGTCAATCTAATCTAACGTTTTCAGTATGACTGAGCAAACAAGGAGCGTTATCTTACCGGTTACCTGCAAGAGGATTTATAGTCTGCATAGGACAGAAGGGGAGGTGGCAGGAGCATTTGCCGTAAATTTGAGAGTAGATAGTACTCTAGTTACCAACGCTAAGAGGCAGTTTGGTATGAGGGCACAAAATCCTCTCGTGTCTAGGATTTTCCGACTCACAAGGTGGATGGATAATTAGCGTTACTTTAGGCCACTTCATCTGCGCATTCGGTTTGGCAGTTTAACCTGTGATTCCGGATCCACCCAGTGGGTATCCCTGTGGTGATCGGTATAATACAATACAGAAAACTGACAGACTTGCAGTCGACCACTTACCTTATGCGACCACATTTGTCAAAATACTTGTCATCTTGATCGTCCTCAAGAGGGTTACGGGATCTCGCCAATCAGGTGCTTTTTTAGCGCGTTCTAGTCATAGCGACTGACATCTCAGCTTTACGTCAGTCGTGATCAGCACACAGCCCATGGGTGAGTTTTGACGAAAGAAATTAACGGGCTCTCCACTGTCAGGCACATGACTACTTTGCGGACAACGATGTTGGCCTCCAGAGTCACATTTCGCCAAGCCAACGAGCATATTATGGCATTATCAACCAACTGCTGCTGCTGCTTGTTCTGTTTTAAATTCAACTATTCCCTCTCTCTGTGTACGGTTCGCAACTTAGGGTTTTTCAGCAGCTCTGCTCTGTCCCGGTGTGCACGATCTCCAATTCACCCATTTTTATTCATGGGCTCTGTTTACATTTCCGATAATGATCTTTGTTTATTATGACGACGCCGGAAACTTTTTCAGACGCTAGTATCCCTACCTCACATCGGCGCCACTGTATCAAGGAACCAAAAGGAGCGAGGATGGAAATTCAAATGGTTATCATGTCCCGTAGCATAATTACGCGGTGAATATAAGGAACTCGGAAGGTATGTGAGTTATCTACCAAGCCTCTATCGTGATAAATGCGTTGATGACTGACGTTAGTGTAACATAAAATAGTATACAATCATACAGTAAGCTATGCTCTATCACTCATGTCCATGTGACACATAGTTCCGGTTGTAGGGCATGATTAATGTAATCCACAACAGCGCAGTTTAGGTGATGAATTGTGTTGGGAGCTAAGAGCAACATCTAATGTTTTTTTTGAAAATTTCCATAGTAGGGGAGAATACAACTGGGTGTGGGAGAGAGTTCCAGGATTGACAAACTCGAAGAGAAAGATGATTCCGTCGACAATCTAGACGCCTTTGTTCACTCAGTCTCAGACAGTTACCTCTGAATTTGGTGTTGTGGCTAATTTTCAGCAAATGACAGCATGCCTGCTTGGGGTCACTCCATATTTGGTACACTAATATGATATCACAGCCTTCAGGTAGCGTCCACATAAAACTACCAGCAACTTCAGCCTTCGCTGGTAAGTGTGATTACGTAGGCCTCTGACATTCTTTGTTGCTCTTCGTTATGGTGTCTCTAATGCATCTAGGTCTCGCTTCAACAAAGGTTGCCAAGCTTGGATCGCGTATTCAGCGTGAGGGCTCACGTAAGATTTGTGCGTTATTTGGAAGCTTAATGTGTCGAATCTCCTGAATATCCTTCGCAACAGGTCGACGTGATGGTTGTACCTTTTCGCAGCTACCTCAGCTTGTTTTGAACAGTTGTGGTCACTCTACGAACGCACCATGGTCACGTTTCTGGGAGCTGGTTTGCAATCCGTATGCCCCATTCAAATACGTCTACTCATGTCTATGACGCAACTGCACAAGGCGACATTTGTCTTCATTGAATGGTAGGGTATTCTGAACTGAAATCGTGTTAAAATCGTACTGGAGCCCTTTGTTGTCTTCCGGTCCTCTGATCGCTCGCCACCTGTTGATATTATCTGCCAAAAATAGGAAATCTGAAGCAATTGATATCGTTAGGTCGTTTATGAAAACAGAGAATAGACAAGACCCTAGCACTGAGTCTTGTGGCACACCGCACTCCACTTCAGTTGCATCGCGCAGATTCCCGGTGTCTTACCTCCAACCGACGTTTATGTAGAAATTTTCTTATCCAACTCAAGATTGGGTCGCCAATGCCGTAATTCCGAAGCTTTTGAAGCAGAATTCGAAGGTCTAAGCGATCAAACACTTTTGAGAAGTCCAGGTAGATGATATCGACTCCTGCTCCATAATCAACTGTTTCATTCCAACTATTGCGTGCAATTAATAGGTTGTACATGAGTGCTGTTGACGGTAGGCATGTTGCTCGACGGATATTTAGTTGTGATTTTCCAGAAACTGCATCAGCGGACCTGCTATGATTGATTCCATTATAAGGGAAAGCATGGGAGACTGTTATTGGACGGTAGTTGGTAGGGTCAGTGCGGCTACTTCCTTTATGCATCGGAGTGATGACAACTCGCTTCCATACTGGCTGAGTTTGATTCTGCTCTAGAAATCGCTGGTATAAAACGGCTAGATCGCTGGCTAATGTCTGTCGATCCTTCAGTCGAATGTTATCGACTCCGGAAGAATTGAGGATACGCAGGGATAACAACTTCAACACAGCTTCTGCAATGAAGATAATGTTGGATAAACCTGCCGGTGGAGTATCGAAACTTGTTACCCGCTGGAACGTACCCGAATAGGAATTTGCGGTTCGTGTAGAATCACTTCATTAACCTCTGTTGACACGTCACCTTTGTCCTCGCGGATCATTTTCACACAGAAGTTACGCTGTGTCACGTATGCAGTCCAGGTTTCGGCATTCGAACAGTCCTTGTGATCTCGCCGTGCCAAATCCCTTAGTGACATTCATCTGCGTGTTCTGCTCCTCAGCAATGACTTGCTTTTGGTTTTACGATGGATGAACTACTATTCCGATGCGTGCGTTACCGGTGTGCTAAAAGTCTTTGTGAACGTTTACCAGGCGACGTTTGGGGGTACTCTGTTAGGAGGGTCCAAGATGTCTCCTTAACAAGCGCGGATAACATGTTGTAGTGCGTGACAGTATACGCTTTATCATAATCTTCAGGATATTCCGCCTAACATACATAGTCGAACAAGAGAGTACCATCGTCCCTGAAACCTACTGATTTACACTTGTAACTATTCCGTCGACCATAAGTTCTTCGTTGGTGAGTGCACCATCAAGCGTCCACGGCCTGTTCAAAATTCGAAATCCGATGGGAGACGCTGCGTGTTTTTACAGAGGTTAGCTGGAAAGTAGCTCTTGCAAATAGGCCGTAAACTATACACCGACGGTTGCTGGCATTTGCACCTTGAAAATGCGGCGGTGGGCAGAAAGAAATTTGTGAAAATAAAAACCAGTGTCGCTGTGAGATTGCATTCATCAAAGAAAGCTAATCAATTGACATGTTTCACCTAAATTCTTCTTTACAGTGAAGACCAGGTGGTTGGCCCGAAAGATCGATCTACTGTTAATCCTAGTTGGACGGCTAAGTATTTCGATTTCAACAGTACATCTCCGGTGGATTGTAAACGATCCTTGGTTTACACTTGTTTTGTAAGAGCTCGCCGCATATGCTCGAGAGCTAGTTAAGAGTGATGATGTTTGCCCTACCGAAGTTTTCATCAGGGATCGGATGGAATACCGGACAAGGAAAACGGCCTGATATCCCAAAGAATAGGACGTTCAATGCACTGCTTTGCAAAAAGAACACAATGATTTCATGTCATTCAGCCGGTTATGTTACTGCTGTAGGAGGTGCTAATGCGCAGCCGACATAGTACTATTGTACCACACCACATGAATCCAGCTTGAACTGACTCGCTGTCAGGCTTCTTTCCTACCTATATTATTGTCTCTGTGATAGCCGGATTGAAGGGGATCTGTGGACCACTAATATGGAACTCGGTTCCCCGAGCTCAGCGTTCAATAGTCCTGGGTTACCCAACAGTTCAACCGGCTGTCACCTGATCGATTGCAGGTTATACAGAAACCCTCACGAAACGTTCGCGGCTGCTATTGGACGAATTACTTTTTAGAATTCATCACAAGTCACTTACCTACTCTAGGTAGGTAAGTGCTTCCCCCCAAACTACTTTACTACGCCGCAAGGAGACGCAGGCCCAACAAAGCAAGTCACGTCTCAGGCAGCAAACCATGTCCTCTGCTTTTTAGGAGTGCCTGGCAGTGGAAGGTAAG